GGGATGCGATGAGTGGACGCCACCAGGGACGGTCCAAGGGTTCAGCGTTGACTTGCAATGGTACGTGAAGTGGACACAACAGCGCCTAGAACGACATCATGGGGACTCGAAAGGATGGCTCGAATGCGCTCCAGATGAGCCCCAGAACGAAGGCGATCGATGCGTCGACTTCCCGCAGGCGGCTGACCCAGAGCCTACATCGGAAGCTGAGGACGAGCAGGACCCACCGGAGCCGCGAACGGACAGTCCGACGCGATCTATCACTCAGCCCCTGTAAGCAGTGAATCTCATACTCCACTCGACCGCCGCTGACGACTCGGAGCTTGTTCTAGCGTTGACGCAGTACACAGACTCGAGGGATCCACGGCGCAGGAGCCGGACATCGAGATGCAGCCCGTAGGAGCTGGCTCGAACTCAGCACCCGATGCCCCCAATGCGACGCGCACCGCAGCGACAGCCGTCAGCGGAGTCACGCCGGAGACCGCTACGATGCTCAACGGATCGTCGCAAGGGTCGGATGCAGCCCAGACCGAGCACTCGCAGCCACTAGATGCTACCGAACCGCGTGCAAACGACTCCGATGTCGCACGCGGAGTCGCAGAGACAGGAACATCCGCGGACGAAGGTCGTCGGGGCGGACTCGCAGGCGCAATCGAGCAGGCGGATGAACGTCAAGGCGGCGACGCGCGTCGGAGTCAGGAGGTGTTAGCTGCACTGGGCGACACACTCACGCAACCGTCCGAGTCGCACTGCGAGCTGGGCAGCGGGAATCAGAACAACTGCTGATTCGGAGGTCGTAGGATGCAGGTGTCGACGTGTACGTCGTGCGTTGCTGGATAGGTCATCGTCGCCGAATGCTGACGTCGATGTCCATTGCAAGCGGGCAGTGTGGGTCGATTTTTTACGAACCGTGACCGATGATAGACAAATTTCTCGGTGCAGAACGATGTCTTCGACCGCGATGGGGTGTTTTCTCGTATGTATACACTTGTTCTCGACTCGGATGCAGCTGTTCGTGACGTTTTGATAAGCTATGGTCTGGGCGTTTCGATACACACGGGCTTACTGAATGTCTACGATGCACCTGTATTCGCACACCAGATTTCCTGGACCTTCCATGAGTGAGGTGATGCTGTCCGTTGTTCGTATCGTGCTGCGTACTAGTTCGTTCCGTACAATTGCAAACCACCTCCCGTACGTCTGTTTGGAAATCTTGTTGAACTATCGCATGTCAATGTAACGCACCATGTTCCGTCGTCCCGTCGAGCAATTTGCGACAAGCAAGAGCGGGTTGAAGGGGAAAAGAATCATATTGTGAGTTCCGAACATACTTCGCGGGGCCGTTACAACATGTGCCGCCGCGTCCACTAGACAACACTATCTGCAGTCTTCTATGCTACCCTTGGGATAGCAACGCTCGTACGTCGCGCCGGGCTGGCGGACGTGCGTCGGTCACTGCTGCACCAGCATCTGCGTAGACAAGTGAGGTATAGGACATACCGTAGTCTCGTCCCTCAGTCATCACCACTCCCGCTCTCATGAGCCTCGCATGCAGCGAGTCGCAGCCTTCCCGTCTCCTCTGGAACTCTCTTCCTCCATGTACTCATGCCTGGAATCCTGGCGGAAGGGAATCACCTTCGACGCGGTACCACTTGACGTGACTGTTGAGCGTGAAGCCAGTTCAGTCGAGGAGGCGGATGCTGGGCAGCGCTCGCGGATGAGTTGACATTGTGGATAGAGCGTGAAGTGAGTATATACATCCAAAGGGATCTGTAACGGAGCAGGAAGCCGGGAACTGTAGACGACCGAGACAGGACGTACCGCCGGCAGGAGGCCTCAGAGTCACAGGCGGTGGGAGCTCAGACGACGTCATCCGACTCCTTGAATCGGACCGCCTAATGGGGATTCCATCAGTGTGTATGCGCACGAAGACGGGGCGGCTTGAAGTCCAAGGCGGTATGCGATGTCCAGGACGACCCCGAGGCAGACGTCAGCTGAGCCCAGCGTCCCGCCCGTCATGCGCCCGTGTTCTTGTGGCGGCGGCGTGCTTCGTGCGACTCGGGAGATGCGTGTGCAGCTCAACAAGTTGCGATGAGTCGATTGAGGGTCGGGGAGTGGTGGATGGCAATGTCGCCCGGCGCCAACTGCCAGAGCTCGTCGAGGGTCCGCCGTCTCCGACAATCGTCCGAGGCGCGTCTTGGGCGTGTCGCAGGCCGTCGTTCCCCTCCACTGACGACAGTGACCCTCAGCGAGAACTATCGCGCATCTTCTTCTCCTCGCCGTGCTACGCTGGCAGTCGCCGTCCACGTAGCCTCCCAATGGCACCCACCTCAAGAGCCCCGCCTCTGCTGCACTCTTCCCCGGCTACTCGCCAATACTCTACGCATGGTGACCTGCGCACGCTTCCTCTGGCCCCGCTCATGGATATAACTTGAAGACCTCCCGCTACGTTAGCCTTCATCCCTGGCCAGTCCTCGTACCCGCCCTCCCAGGAATGTCGACCGCTGAACGACATCAATCCCGCCGGCGTGCCACCTCGTATCTCTGTGCGCTCCTGCCCATTCGGCTTGCTGTGAGCATACTCACTTACGAGTCTCTCGACTACCTGAAGTAAGCATTGTCAGGTCCTTTGCTGGAGTAACCCTCCTGTTGATTGTCGAGTACCGTGGGCGAAGCCGCATGCGTGTCTTCGCTCGTTGTCCTTCAAGTGGTAGTGGTCGGCCAGGGCAGTGATTACGGGTGAGTACCGCGCCTCTGTAACGCGCAACGGACGATAACGTGAGCCGGGACATGAGACAGGTAAGGCTACGTGCCAGCAAAGCTAGCTCAAAACCGGAGATGTGCTACTGGTAAGTAGGTTGTCCGGAATCACGCCTCGCCTTCAGATCTGACTCACTCTCTACTCTTCTCGTGGCCGGTATCGCCATGAGCATCCGCTGCCTTGTCGACCCTCGCGAGACTTCGTTTCACAGGATGTACACACAACGCAAGTGCGTAGTAGCATCTGCTGACCGGCGGCGGGTCTACAGGGACGTCCGTCATTCGAGGCAGAGTGTCGATCGAGAGACACTGTGACGGAGTGGATCCCGCCTTAGTCTGCCGAGCCCTGCGCGATCGAGCGTGGTATCGCCCAAGCATCATCCAATCCAGCCGTTCCACCGGGAGCATTCAACCACGTTCCTTTCTCCCGCCTACACGATTTTCATCCACGGCGGCCCACCGATTCACACACCGAGTGCGCCGAACACGCTCTGCTCGCGAATCATACTCCCCGAAGGTGAGTTTACGCACACGGAGGTCGCTGCCGGCTCGCTCGCATGATCCATCGAATCTCCATCGGGCTCGCGGCGAACCCCACTGTGTCTCTGTACGTCATGGAGAATCACAGTGTACACCCGCGCCTCCAAGACTAATGCATACAGCTGACCCGGTCCCCACAGCGGTCGAACTTGGCGTCGGTCCCCGGGATGAACAGGATCTGATATGGTGAGTTCAATTCGTCGATAGCGTACAATGCTGCGATGTTTCATGTTGTTAGCCGCAGCGTGTAGTTATTAGCTACCTTGTAATCCTACTCGCGCAGGCTGCCGTATCGCGTTCACTCTTCATGCGATCTTGTCTGGTCATTGTTTAGTGCGCAATCCAAGGTTGTCTGCTGTGCCTGTGTCGTCATCAGAGATCAACCCCATCAATGCCGGGCTCCACGTCGATAACTGGAGGCCAGCCATCTTGAATCGGACGCGAGGCTGCGCAGAACCCGCAGACTAGATAGCCCGGCTCAAGGCGGTCCGTCGATCGAGGAGGCCCGAAGCGCGGTACGTTTCACCTCTTGGTTTAGCGTGCTGGCTGATCACATCCCCCCGTCATGAAGTACCTCAGAGAGTCGGACCCGACGCGTCGTTTGCGACAGATCCCCTGTCCTCAAGACCGACGCTACATCCGACTCGTAGGTCCCAGTAGACGATAAGGCTTGTCCTGGAGGTGTGGAGCAGCTCGCATGGCCGCGACGAAGCCTGTCCGGACGCCGATTGAGGTGCGACCCTCGTTTCCCGCAGAGACATTGTGTCCCTGCCATGGTGATGACTGCGCGCACATGGCACCGTGTGGTTCACCCCGTATTCTGTAGATACAGGTCCTTGCCATTGCCCTCGGACAGCCTCTAATGTCGCCAGTGTTCTCTATTAGGTATTGGCAGATGCACCGTACGTTGTCGATACCCACTGCCCGTCTATTACTCTAAGTCTCTATGCCATGTATTTCGCCGCTCGTAGGACATACAGATGCCCGTCGACGGCTTATGCCGTCACAGGGAAATTGGACGATAGTCCCCAGCTATGCGCGACACGCGATGACATCGGTCCTTGTTTCAGGTGGCTCGCCAGTGGTCTGTGTAGTAGCAATGACTGGTCCGGTACGACCGCAGACGACCGGTAGCGATGCAATCTTGCGCGCTTCACGGACGGACGCTAATTTTAGTTCCGCGGCTCGACGTTCTTGACGTCAGACCACCTCCTTCCTTCAAGCTGGTTCAAGTTCCTGGCCGCTGCCTCGACCTCCCACACAGCAGCGACGACTCGACCAGCGGACGACCACTCGAGACGGGCTCTATGTATCGGCACGCCAGCAGCGCGAGGACGGACGTGCACGGACGGATGGCGTGAGGAGACGCGTGGCACCGTATGAGCTGGGTAAGCGTCTCGAATGCTTACGCACGACGCTCAGCGGTCTGATCGTACGCCAGCTGTTACGTTCCTGTCGCGACACCCACTTCGTATGGTACCCAACGTTGCCCCTGTCGCCCTCGGTCGCTCACCACTCTCGCTCTCCTAAATACCGCCACCTCTACGCGCCGCCCACGTCGATGCGGACCAGAGTCGCGTCTAGCACCCGTGTGCTACTTTACGGCCAGGGTCCGTGAACGCGTGGCCTGAGATACGCGTTCCACGCTTTCCAGCTCGGTATGCGCGAGTTGGTGGACTGCTCTGCAACCCGCAGAATGGCCTCCTGAGCTGGCAGCGCTGGAGAGGGTTGAGTGGCGGTACGTATCTGTGTCTCGTGTGCCGCGATGTTCACTGACGACGGGCGAGCTACGTCAGCACGCACGAAGTCATCATGAGGGCGCGACGTACGTACTGGTGATACGAGCAGGGTGGATGGGTTGGATGGCACGAGACGTGGGGGGCGAGAACGGGCTGAGCTGGTGGACGGGTCAGACGGTACGAGCATCAGCCCACGCACAGACGCACGTCACTGAAGGGTGGACGCGCAGACCGACGCGTCGGGATCCACTCGCCGTACTGCGGTGTGCACCGAGAGACCTGGGAAGAAAAGTCAGCGACAACGGGATCAGTCGGAGGAAGGACGTGACTGGATTCGGAAGGCTGGATTCACGTTGCGCACAAGACAGGGATCGGGGAAAAGAGGGAGGAAGGCAGTCGCGGGCAGAAAAATGTGCGAACGCAGGTCGCCTTCTCCACGCGCTCACGAACGGCAGAAACGTGGACCGACGGACGTACCAGACGTTGCCCACCGGACGATGAAGACAATCACTGCGACCGCAACGGCAACCTTCTCCCATGTTGCTGTACCGACTGCTGAGGGTGAAGGAAAGGAAGCAATGAAGGCGGGGAGGCGGAGCGCTGACGTGCAGCGCGGTCAAATAGAGCTCTGAGCAGTGCGGCATTTGACCGGCAACTCACCCACAGGCTCTGCCACCCGCGATATGGCCTCCTTCTCCACGACGCTTAACGCACTGCCGATTGAGCCGACGGGAAGCTTGCTGATAGCCCGCAAGTCGCCCTCGAGTCGGCGTCCTGCGATGACGCGAGCACCCAAACGCGCTCCTGCTCCCTTGATTGGCTGCCGCGTCGCTCTTTCGACCGCGCCCGCTCTTGCCGCCTCTTGCTCACTCCCACCCTTGTGCACCGCTGTCTGTATGCTTTCCTGGCATCTGCTGCTGGCTGCTGGTCTTTCCTCCCGACGTCTCTCCCCCCTCCCCGCGCCTGCCCTGCACGTTTCCCGTGCCTGCCGGCCCGCCAGGCTCATGCCCGCACCGAGACGAACCCAGCGGCACTTACAACACCCAGTTTCCGGTCATCGCACGCATATATCGAGATGACTCGTCTCTCCAAGTCTTGCCGCCGACTTTCCCCTTCCCCATACACGCTCTCTCCGCCCGTTCCGTGGCCCTCAGACGCTCCCATCCGCAACCTGGACCCTTTCTGCACCCATTCCGAGTCATCCGAAGTGATCCTGCTCGCGGGACGGCACGCGCGGCGGTATTCTCTGCGACATACCCCAAGCGCCCGAAATCGATCCCCGTACGCTCTCCTCGCGGTCTCTGGCCCTCTTGTATGCCCCGTTCGACGGCTCCTGAGCGTATATATCCGATTGTGAACGTACCCGGTTGTGCGTTGGGAGGTACGTTGCCCAAGTCGCGTCGTACGCCGCTTGCCATGCCCGGCTAACGTCCCCGACGATCCTCGCCCTGTGTTGCGACACCAGGCACGGCACGGGTGGTCAGGAACATGCGTAGTCGATTACGCCCGTGGCTGTTTCGCGTCCAGAGCCGATCTATGGGCGCAGTGGACACACAACCCGCCGTGATCACACTACTGCGGCAGACGCCCATTCCCCGCATTCCATACGCCCCAACGCTGACGGGGAACACAGCCAGCAACCACGCATTGGTACGTGGGTAAAACCCATTCATACGTGAGATCTAAGTACTAATCTGCTGCGTCCTGCCCGTGCTCCCGCCGAACTGATGACTCCTGCGCTTCAGCTGCTTACACGGACGGGCAATGAACTGTATGCGTTAGACGATGCCAACCGATGACTTCACTTGGGCTACCACCTCCGGTCGCCGCACAACCTCTCCGCAAACGTCCGCGAAACAGCCAGGCTCGCCCCTCGTCGCACGATGAGACATTGCCCTCCTGCCTGCTGAGCAAACGAGGGTCCCGCGAAAGCACTCGTCAAGACCGGAGGACGGTCTGCGCCGACCGCTCTCGCAGGCTTACCTACCGACCTCGGCTGTCCTCCTACACCGTGCGCCCGACCGCCTCCTCCGACCGGCGGCGAAAGCGTGGCGTCGTCTTCAAGATGGGCTGCTCGACGACGCTCTGGTCTAGTCTTGTGGGACAATGAGTAACCTGACGAAGTGATAGCGGAGTGGGCCACGGGGACGATGTAGGACGCGACGTGCGTACCGGGGACACGAGCAGGCGTGCGGGCTGGACGACAAGGGGCGTAGAGGTCGAGAACGGGAGCTGGTGGAAGTGTCAGGCAGTACGAGCGCCAGCACACGCACGGACGCACCTCACTAAAGGGGTGGACGCGTAGACCGCCGCGTCGGATCCACTCGCCGTGGCCCGGCGTGCAGTGAGAGACCTGGGAAGAGAAGTCAGCAACAACGGGATCAGTCGGAGGAAGGACATGACCAAGGCCACAAACCTGGGTGCGCGTTGTGCGGAAGACGAGGACGGTAGGCAAGAAGGAGGAGGGTAGTAGAGAGCAGATGAAGGTGCGAACCCAGATCGTCGCCTTGTCCACGCGCTCATGAACGACAGAAACGCGGACCGACGGACCTCTTGACGACCTCCGCACGCACCACGACCGAGTCCCGCTGGACGCCCGTCCCGTGGTTCATGCTGACTAGTAGATAGGGCGGCTGCCATCGCTCAGTGACCGACTCTCCGACGCGTAGCGGGGACTGTCCACTCTCGGCAGCAAGGTGAGCAGCTTTGCCTGTCAGTGCACCGAGGCTGACGAGCTATCGGACGCAGCGAGGCCCGCCACGTACCGGGACACGCGCCATTGCGCGATGGTCGGCAGATTCGTCGTCAAGTCATACAGCACGGCGTCGCCCAAAGGGCATCCGCATTCTGAATCAGCATCGAGGCGCTGGACGACGCGACGTCCATGTCTAGATTGGTCGCTCGCACCGACCTGGCGCCCCTGGGCTCGCTCAACCGCGCGATCTATACGCCAACCCGCGCCTCCCCGGCTGTATTCACGGGTTCCCCGGTCTCCTCGTGCCCGCGCCATGCTGGATCGTGCACCGGACGTCGCAGGAGGTTACCCTGCTTAAGTGGACGAGTCGGTCTCCTGAACCGAGCGATCGACTCTCATTCATCCTGACCCGGTGTCCTTGAGACGAGCCCAACGCAGACCCTGCATATACTCTGCCATGGGAACTACCCGGTGAGCGACGCTCAGGCCGATCCGACTCGCTGCTTACTCAAGTAGCGAGCACGTCCTCGATTGGTTGCAGACTACAAACGACAGTACTATGTACAGACACTAGTACGTACTCGAGTCCTCCTGTAACCAGGCTCGTACCCTGACCTATATATTTGTTGAGAAGAACTCTGGGTGACCGGATGGAATGAAGTCACCGACGTTGAATTGCGCGGCAACAAAGAGGTACTGCGACAATGAGAGTTACGCAGTCGGCGAATGAGAAGGAGAGTGCGAACCGAGACCCTTGCCCTCAACGACGAAAGCGAATCCACGAGCGAGACGCGAGGAACAGCGGGCTTCCAGATACTGTAGGAGCGCACTGAAGAAGATCGGCATGCGGTTGTTGCCGTGAGTGTTGAGAGAATGTCCAGAGATGACGGCTCCGAGACGGGTACTTCGGGTGAGATATGGAGACGTTGCTGAGTGGGGATGTCTATGTCTCTGTTTGAGAACAGGGCGTTGAGCGTCGTAGCATTGGGATGCGCGCGCGCAACCATGCCAGGACGTGTCGTGACTGCGCGCAGCACTACTTCCGCCCTTCCAATCCGGACAACTTGGCTCCTGCAGCGACGCTCCCTGCCTCGGTACCACTCCCGACCTCGCCGGCCGCGACCTGTTTTTATTGCTCGGTGCCTTGCACGTTCAGTCAAGGCGACTCCAGCTGCTGCCCAGCTCGAGACCACGAAGCAATGGGGACCGTCGTGTCGCGTACCATGAGCGAGCGGCGATCGCATGTATGCGCGTTGTTGTCCGCGGAAGTCGACGACAGGCCGTGGCGACACCTACGGGATCTATTGATTCATTAGAGCTTTATCATAGCTCTATGAGCACGGTGAGAGTGGACGGTGAGCAAAACAACTCCCGTCATTGCGCGCCGCTCCACTCACTAGGGTCCAGCCCCTCCTCGTCCGCCCTCGACCTTCCACTGCACTCCCTGTCATTGCGATGCGATGTCCTTCATGGGCCCACGCCCACTTTCACGGCGCGTCATAATCCAAGTACTTGTCTATGACGCGCATCCCATCCGTCTTCTGCAGAGGAGCAATGGCTGGCCGAGCGCAACGCAGACGTGCCCTCTGACGAGGAGCGAGGGGCGAGGTCGGAGGATCGAAGCTAGTCTCCGTAGGCCTCCTCCAAACACGACCCCTTTGAATGGGGGAGGACGGTCGCATAGGTCGATGTTGACTAGCAGAGACGGTCGAATATGTCAGATACGGGGAAGCAGGTCTGTCGAGAACACGAGGTTGTGGGCGGAAGCAACAACGACTGCGTGTGGGTGCGCGATACGAGCGCCAATTCGCGGACAGCCTCTCTTGACCGTCACCGCGACGATATCGTCCTCTCGCTTCGAGCATGGATGCTATTAGGTGGTCGACGCCGTCGTCCTCTGACGATTCCAGACACTGGTGAATACAGTAGGTAAAAGCTCCCGAGTCACTCCTGGGCTCAAATCTGTCCTTGCCTCGCGGTACGTGTATTTCATCCGAACTCGCGCGTAAGTATAGCTGCTCATATCCTGAGGCACGAAGGTTGAAGGAATTGTCTACGTCTGCTTGGGGGTACTAAGCTGCTTGCCTCTTTCGGAGTCTCGCGCAGGAGGCCCTTGAGCGGGACATCGCGCGCCCGCTGTCGCCGCTCATTCTACCCACCCAATCCCTGCTTACGGACTCAATAAGTGGACGACGCAGACCCTTGACACGAGCTCCGGGCCACACTCGGGGTTTTGGTTAACAAAACAAAGACACGGATGAGTCTGCTCGACGTGAGTGGCTCCCGACATAGTGCAGATCTCCCACTCACGTCCGCGATCCCTAAGCGAGCGATTCAGCGGCCAGAGAACGTACACTTTGTGAGTATGTGGAGCACTTACCTCGAGGTCGGCGAAACTGCTAATATGAGTTAGGTACTTTCTATGCGTCAGGGCCCAGTGGCGCGTCGTCTGATGAACTCGGAGGCGCTCACTATCTGTCAATGGACGTCCAAGGCGGACGACACGCACCATGGAAGCCCCTACCAAGGTTCATATTGTGGTTGCCAGTCGCACACTGAATGCAATTGGGGCGACAGCCGCGGCCGCGGCGGATGTGAGTAGGTACTGCCTTTGCGTGCCAAGCCGATGCAACTTCGACACGGCTTTGCGCCTGCATGCAAGCGCAAAGGCCGGCTGCGCATGAACCTCAATATTGAGATGTAGTGCATATGCCATACGATCAGTGACACAATTGACAACTTCTACAACACCGTTTCGACAGTAATCTTTCGATGTTGTCATGCTCGACAACATCGCATGCAGCTGCAGCCCATTGCCACCTCGGACATTTGCATGCGAGTGTCCAAAGGCATGCGGCTCCGGTGCAGCGCCTCGGCGGCTGCTCATGGACACCACACGTACGCTTCTGAACGACCCGGGTACGTCTCGTCCAATCGTGGCTGCCCTGTAACTTAGGTACAATGTGCTGCCGGAAGCGTGCAACACGTACCAGCGTTACAACGTTATCGCACAGCCAATGGCATACACCTTCCCTCCCATGTCAATCTGTGAGCGTCCAAACCTTGCAGACTCGAGGCTCGGCGGGTTCCGTTCAGCACCACCTCGACGACATACATCCTCGCCTTTT